CCACTATTTCAGGCCTAAGAACACAAAGGTAGTTTCATCAATCAATGGGTTAACCGGTCAATTTGGGAACCACCAGAAGGAAGGGAAGAAAGGGCTTCAAAAGGACCAGAGAGAAAACGAGACAGAGAGAGTAAAATCGTGCCCTAGAAGAGAGGTCGAGAGAGTTGTGTATCAAAGAAGCTAAAACTCACGTGATATAGACAGGCACACAATCCGGGTCAAGCAATTGGCCCAAAGGTGTTAAAAGAGAACCACCTAAATAAGGCCCAATAAGCCCACAATTGTCTTCTCAGGTAAGGTCCAGAAGCCCCTCGTGTTTCCTTTTTGGATCACTGTCACTATCATCTTGCCGCTTGCTTTGTATATCAACAATTTTCCTTCGATTTTACTCATCTTTTCGGAACTTTTTGAAGATCTAGATTCTCAATTTTAGAGTTCTTACCATTAGGTTTTTGTCTTATGGAAACTATATCTGTTCCTCACAAATATGTTGCCAACTTGTTGACCAAAAAAGTAAAACCAACAGGCCCCTCATCCATCTTCATATCAAGTAACCTTCCTTAACCCTTTTTGATTGCTAGAACTCCAATAGAACTTGATGAAATAACAATCGCCGTCTATCAAATGCTAAGGGTGTGAAGAGAAAGAATTCGAATTATCTTGCTTTCCTTGTGATTTTAGGGGGGTATTTATAGATTTGTCAAGCATGTGGCATTTTTGCCCTTTTTTATTGTCTGGGCACTCATTGCCCTTCTAATTCGGTATTTTGATAATTAATTAAAATTCTAAAGGGTTCCGTTACTCGTGTCTCCTTCCTATTAGATTAGTTGTTATAATTTTCACAAGATTCCTCATATCAACTTCCCACGTGCTCCTATAATCGTTTCTGTCACTTGGCAATATTCACATAATGCCACGCGGCTAATAAGGTATTTTGTGTGTCCCCCTTTGGGGAAGCACGGTGTTTATTTGCCCCTACACTTCGGTTATCTAAACATATAAAGGAAATCACAAGTACTACGTGCTCCACTCATTACTATCTATTTATAATGTAAACCATTTATATACATTTCCCAAACATGAGTAATTTGTACTAGAAATTTTGTAATTTTTTAGCCGAATGAAATTTTGGTTACCATGAAGAAACAAGTGGAAAAAAGTGGGGTATAGAAGGGCAATGCTATTTATCATTAATAGAGATACTTATCGATTTAAGTGGTATTGGATCCGTGATTTATTTTCAAATTGAGTTGTAATGTATTTTTATACATTAGATGATGAATTAAGGAGTTCGCTGCCATTTACACGAATGATAATCTCCTCTAGTGATGAACCATTCTGTGTAAAATATAAGTTAGCAAAATATGGTCTGCAAAACGTTAATATACCTTAAATGCAGTGTATTTTGTACATTTCCTTTAGGATGACACAAGTTATAATAAATTTGAGATGTGTATAGACATTTTAGATTTTATTTTTACATTGTATTTCCTCGAACTGTTTCAACTTTTTATTGAAAAGGAAAAAGTAACATTTAATAAATTATTTATAAGTGGACTAGTCCACATTTATGATAACGATTCGGTGGTATATTAGCGGACTGGTTCACCACCGAATCAAGATGTCATAATTGTCTAGGGATTGAGGATGAAACAAAAATGGAAAGATTCAACGTAATCGAAAAATGAATGTGGTTTTATTGAAAATATAACTATTACAATTGCAACATATCGAGCGCGTGTATACGTTCTCAACTTATATGTGGGTACAAATATAATACGTAACAATGTAGCGATCACTCAACAACCAATAATGCTATCTATCACGAGTCTACATGGTACTAGGTCACACCTTTAATTGTCTATTAAAAGTACGCACCTAATTACTACCACCTAAACTAGTGCTGAACACTTGTATCACTAGATAGGATTACTTTGGTCACCTTTCAACCACTTACTTTAATTCATGGACTACCAGTATTGGTGGTCAATTTTGAAAGGGTCTCACAACAGAATGATGCAAAAGTCAAATTTTAATGTAAAAGCGTTACAAGATAAACTCACTATTCTCCAAAGTGAAAAAGAAAAGTGAAATGTTTAAAAACTCTTTATCATATACACTAATCTTTATAAGTTATTATTTATTCTAGAAATCAACATCACAACCTCCAAGAAATAAATAAATACAAGTGTCTCTGGTGTGTATCAAATATGTATTCATTTCAAACTAATCTTTAGGAGGTATTTATTATACTAGAAGTCAACAACACACTGCATCAAACAACTACATCAATACAAGTGCTTGTGGTGTGTTTCAGATACATATATTTATATCGAACTTCGAACATCAACTTTTCAAGAGATTTTTTGTTTCTTTTTCCATACCCGTTTCCATCCGTCACTTGATTATCAAGACTCTCATTCTTTTGGAGATTGGAAGCTTAGTTGAAGCACTCCAATGACTTCATATTCAAGCAGAACTCAAGAAGTCCACGTTTTGCTAGTTGAACGCGATACTAATCATCTTAGTTCAACAATGCAACTGTTGGAATTCTTTTCATATAAAGGTAAAAAAAAATAAAAAAATCGCAATCATAATATTATAATTTCATTTTTTTTTTTAGTTTTAGTTGAAACCATTACAAGTATAGATATGATAGATGAACATTCTCGATTTTATTCATTACTTAAATTGACCTTAAGAATTCATACAATGCAATTTGGTCCTATACAATTCATACATATATATGTTTATGGAATTTTTTTTTTCTTGATTTACATGTTTTTTTCGAAGAACATGTTGAAATGGGTCATATACAGTGATTGATTTTGATTAATAATTTATTTTCTCTATTTCGACTATAAATCTTCATTCACGCCATATCATGCGTTTAAATATGCCCATCAAAGGAGTACATGTGTACGTGAATGTTAAAAAATATTTTCAAAAAAGAAACAAAATAATAGAGGAAAAATATGTCCTTTCATTATATATTAGTGAGTAATTTTTTTTAAATTATCTGATAATTTAATAAATTGTAAACTGTCTTTCCTACTCATCACACTCTTCTTGGAATCTCCTACACTTATTGCAATGCAAGATGATGATGATGACGATGATGATGAAGTGTTTTCTATGAGTAATTAATGTCTTAAGCTACCATATATCCACTTTTCTATGATCATAATAGTTAATTAATTTTTGATATAGCTATGAACGAAAATTACATCTAAAAAATATTTAGTTTGAAAAACGCCTAATTTCTTGTGGAAAATAAATTGTTCATCATTTGTATTTCGTTGATAATTGGAGTACATGATTTTGATTCATAGTTCTCCATTCAGAAAATCGAAAGTTGTTTTGCCATATATATTTTAGATACACGTATGTGTACAAACATATAGATATATTTTATATATTTTGTTAACACATACATACATACTCAGTATAGGTTTAGACAATCAAACATTCATATGTAAGGGTGCACATGTAGGGAAAAAAGATTGTAGTAAAAAGAAGAGAACGAATATAATGGGAGAAAATTTGAAATGTGTAAGATAGAGAAAAAAAAAAGGGTTGTTATTATAAATTTCAATATCTCATTTAAATTAAATGGTTTGTTTTGTAGCGGAATGCGTTGATCATGCCTCTGCTGCTTTATCAATGTTATCAAATGGGAAGGCTCAATTTGAAATTGTGATGGCAACTATCAATTCACCTGACACAAGCACCTTCAAGCTTCTCCAAGAAGCAGTTAAAATGGACTTGCTAGTGATTTGTGAGTGTTAATTGACTTTCTAAAATTATTATTATATCCTTAAATCTACAAGTCGTTTTGGTACTACACAATACTGCAGGATTTTTTTAATACTAACCAATATAGAACAATCCAGGTTATGTTATACTGACTCTATTTTGTATGTTTTTATTCAAGTGATGTATGATTATGATGATGATATGATGGCAAGAAGTGCTCTGGAACAAGGGGCCTTTCTTTTTCTCCCAAAACCAATTAAAATGGAGTATGTAAAATATCTTTGGCAACACGTGTGGAGGGAGAAGACATGGAAAATTAAAGAAAAAGAACAAATTGGAGAGGTACCGGTATTCAACAGAATGAGTAACGGGTTTGGGGTAGAAGATCAAATCCCACTGGAAAATATTATGAGTGATGACGATGACGTTGCTGAAAATGGAAGTAAATCAAGAAAAAAAGTTAGAAAAATTTGGACGGAGTGGACTCAAGAACTCCATGACAAATTTGTGGACGCTATCATTGAACTTGGTGAAGGAAGTAAGCCTTTTCTCATATTAGATTTTAAGATTCTAATTAATATGATATTACCATTATGTGTGTATATGTGTGTTTGTGTTCCTGCGACTGTGTATATATGTGGATACCAATCTATATTTTATGCATGTAAATGCTATGAATTTGTTTGCATACACGAGTGCCCTTTTATCCTGTGTAGGATGTTACCCAAAGGAGATCCTAGAGCTCATGAATGTACCTGGTCTTACAAGATTGCAGGTTGCCAGCCATCTCCAGGTTTGTTATTGCAGTCTTATTATGATAATTTACAATTTGATATTTAAAAATGTAGTGATAAATTTCACATTTGCATTAGCTAACTATCCTATAGTATTTCTCCCAATATTACATAGAAACTTCCTTGACCTTTTGTCAAACACAATAATCGTTAATCCAAATATTTGGTATGTTGTGACTTTCAAGAGAGTTTTGTTTTTAATATGGTCATCTCCCAACATAACTCACTCGTAAAGACGACTTCATTACTTATTCACAAAAAGGAATTACCAAAAGTTTTAATCTTCATATTCAATTTTGATTCTATAGTATTGATAAATTCCCGTGCTCCATGCATAATATTGGAAAACTTCTCCGTATAGTACTCTTTGAATTTTTTTTATGATTTCATGCTCTTTGAAAACTGTAGTGACCATCCCTATGGTGTCTAAGGGAGAGATCCTATCCATGAGGGAAAAATAAAGAACACAACTCCCAGTTCTTGTACACTGTACTCGAAAAGGGATGAGTTGAATATATAGAAAATTTATTTATTAGTCTATCAAGATTCTTTACAATAGATCTCGAAGCACCACAGTTTAAATATTTCATTTTTCTTTTCTTAGAAATGTCGTAAAGGGAATTGGAGACCAAGCAAAGAGAGAAAACGTCGCAATAGTAATATTGAGGCTTCACCGGAGATCAAGGCTACCAACACGGAAAGAAAGAACTTTGGGTCCATGCCTGTTTTAACCAAACATTTTGAGCAGCACAATCTCCAAACCAACGAAAACAGTGAAAAAATTCAAGATCCACAAATCTATAGTCCGACAAATAATAATGTCTTTGATTATCATCCTCAGGTCGAATCACAGAAAAATTTAAGTGGATTCACATTTTCCCAAGACAATGTCGAAGCACCCTACATGGAACAGGATGGAGTTAATTTACTGACAGTGCCTGGTGCATTCATGCCTAATGAGCCATTTATGTTTGATTTCAATAGTGTCACCTGTGGAGACCTGCATGCATTTGATATTGATCGACCTAATGAGCCAGGTTAGTCTTAATTTCCATCTAGATATTAAAAAGTATTTTTTTGTGTGCTCAACCAAATATGACAACATGAAATATCTACTTTTCTTATGTAAACATGTCTTTAGTGAGAGACCCGTAATGAAAATGCTGGCGTAATAGATTATGCTCAAAAAGATAATTCGGCAACTTAAGGAGATTGCATTTTATCAAATCGTGTCTCTGACGGATTCTTTACTTCTTCATTTGTGGCGAAGGATCGTTGCACAGGGGCACCGACAATGAAGGGGCATGGAGTTTATAAGTTGTTATCGTCTCATGTTGCTTCTTCGAAACCCATCTGTGTCTTTGCCAGTCAGAACACCTCTTTCCAACAGCTTCACAATCATCTTGATCATCCTTCTATAAGAACTCTTCAATGCATTGTTTCTCTGAATAAATTACCTGTCTTCCTCTTTTGATGAAGGATTTTTGTGTAATTTTCTGTTTCTACTTTAATGAGTAGTGCCCAGTTTGAAATACTATATTTTGATGTTTGGTGTTCATCTTCGATTAAAGTCATTTAATGGTTTTCGAATTATGTTTTGTTCATCAGTCACTTCAAAAAGTATTTATAACTGTTTCCAATTAAATTTAAATCCAATGCTATAACTGCGATAACTAAATTCAAATTGGTAGTTTAAAAATACTACTAAAAATCTATTATTCATCTTTAATCTGATGATGGAAGTGAATCTTGAGGCCTTGAAACATTTCTTGAATCTCATACCCCTGAACATTCATATAGATTTCTCTGCCCTCTTAATGCACATACATATCATAAAATTCATCAAAAACAAGAGGTGAATTCATATCTTTTGGGAGAGAAGATTAAGTTTGCAAGGAATTGAAGGCCAATTATATCAAGAATTTGAAAATTTCAAGCTTGGAATTGAAGATCAAGATCTTATGCACTCATTCATGTTCTCTGTGACATCCATCCAATATTTTTCTTATAATTTATATAAAATCATGTTAGGCTAAATCCTTGTTTGTATTAGATGAATATGAACTATTGTGATTATTTATTTAAAGAGAAGTAATTTAGTTGTATTATTTAATTTATTGGCCACCATTTAAATAACTAGTTGTTTGTTGTAGTATTGGATCCTCACAATAAGTAGAACATTGCATGATTAATACGTGGATAATAGGCATTAGGAATAACATGTATGGCGTGTGCAATCTATGTAATAATCGTGTGTTTGAATGTGTTTTATTTATATGAATTCGGACTAGAAATAAGACTAGATCGTGTCTAGAATAGACTTAATTTATCTTGAAAAAGAAAGTTAAATACTGTAGGATTATTGATTTTCAAGAATGCATAGATGAAATTCAATTATATAATTAAGAATTAAAATAGATAATAATAGGTGAATTCGTAAGTGCAATAGAGTCATTCCATATAAGTTTACAACCAACATTTTTACATACATCGTAGAATAATTTGGAATAATTATACCAAAATGTCTTTTGTGTTACAACAATTCAAGTCTAATAAAAAATTTGTACACTTTGATTAGAATTTATTTATCGTGGAACAATCACTCAACTCATCATGTATTACTTCTCAACAATTTCGTACACTTGTGAAATTTGTCCGATTAAGTTTTTAACGTCGTAGTTAGGGAATAAAATTTTTAATTTAAGTTTAGTAGTTTAATGTAGGATCCAGTTTTTAATTGTTTTTGGCTAAACCTGACTTTCTATTGTTTGGTTTTTCTAAATACCGTAATACGGTCGATACTTCAATATGAGGATCAATAATGAATATTTCCATAGCCAACGCCTATGATCTTTATGAGAAAATTGCAGAAAATCAGTATATGTTGCCTATCCCATCCTGTGAAAAGCTTCAAAGGTAGCCAAAAATGGAACAAGTTCAGCCCATCATAGCGAGAAGTGGAGTTCAGATGCCAAAAATTAGTGTAAAGAGGAAAGGGACCGAGGAGAATTAGGTACCTACCAGGGCAAAGAACAAGTGGGTCACACTAAAGAATCAATAAAGGTAAATTAAGAAGAACATTGAGGCAATCATTTCTGTCAATAAACACATACCTCCAGTCCCATTTCCTCAAAGGTTGTAGAATAATAAGTTGGAGAAACAATTCAAGAAGTTCTCGATGCTCTCACAAATCTTCACATCAATATTCTTTCATTGACGTAATCCTACAGTTTTACTTATGCAAAAATTTTGAAAAAATGTTGACCAAAATGAAAAAGCTTCCAAAAGATGAAACGATGATCTTGACAAAAGAGTGCAGTGCAATTCTATAGCACACGCTGCCTCTTAAATTAAAAGATCCAGAGAGTTTCACTTTACCTTGATCCATAGATAATTCACATAATATAAATATTCTAATTGATTTTGGAATAAGTATTAATTTAATGACATTATCTATCTAAAGAAAATTATGACTTAGAAATTCGAAGGAAACTTCAATAATTCTAGAGTTGGTTGACAGGTCCTTCAGTCATCCTCATGGAGTGGTTGGGGATATGCTCATCAAAGTTAGCGATTTCATGTTTCCAACTGATTTCATTGTCCTTGATATAGAAGAAGATCAAGGCATGTCAATAATTTTAGGAAGACCATTTTTAACCGTCAGACAAGCATTAATGAATTTTGGAAAGGGTGAGATAATCTTAAGGGTGGAAGAAAAATAAAAAAAGTTTCGCTTTAATTTACCACTCAGGCAACCACTCTACCTCGAGGAATGCAAAAATAATTGACCATGAAGAAAATGATGATTACAGAAATCATCACTACAAAAAGGGAGTTGTTGAATTGGTTTGAACAATTAGGGACCATTGTGGAAACCTTAAAATTTGGATGGCCAAAGACAAAGCAAGAAACATCTGTCCGTGCAGTCGAGTCGATATAAGCACTACACCAGAAACCACCTATGGCAACGTTCGAAAAACGTTGCCATAGACTTTTGGCAGCGTTCGGGTGCACGTTGTAGGATTCGATGTCGCCGTAGAGTTCCAACTTTTGGCAACGTTCAATGAACGTTGCCAAAGACCCTACGGCAACATTCTGTGAACGTTGCCATAGNTTTGCATGTTGCAAAAGGCCTTTTTTGACGAATGTTGCCTTTTGCATGTTGCAAAAGGCCTTTTTTCTTGTAGTTAAGGTTGAAAACTCAGTTTACAAATCACCATGAATAGCCAAAATAACAAACTCAAGCTCAATACTATAAATAAGTGTGTATTGGGAAGCAACCCAATTTTCTTCCAATTTTATTTATTATATTTTCTAGAAAATAGATTAGTAAATTTTATTACTTTTAATAGTTTGGTATCTTCATTTGCATTTGCCCTATAGGTTGAGATGTTTTAAGCATATTATAAAGTGTTCCGTATCTTGATTGATTTTTCTTTCTTTTGCAGGAACATGACCGCTGAAAATACACAAACTAACATAGAACATTGTAACATGGACCATCTATATCCGATACTTTTATGTCATTTTAGCCACCACCTTCAAAATGATATCGAAGGAATATTTAGTTCTCTTCTTTGCTTACATAATTATTGGTATACTTTTAGAAATTGAGGACAATGTCTGTTATAAGTTTATGATAGAAAAATATCGAATATGTCTTTTTTTTTACCGTATCAGCATGCTTATCCTTGTATAAACGAAAAGAAAATTTAGAAAAAAATGTATTTTCAGCTTAATTGTCTATTTTGTGTACTTGTGTGGGTTGGATAATTTTGTCTGCTATGATACATATATTTTGAACCATGTGTTAAACTATAATTTGTGGAAATATCTCTTGTTATGTTGATTTATGCTTATTCATGTAAAACTTGACATTATTTTGCACACTAGATTAATGTTTTGCATCATGAATAATTAATTTCATTCATATGATTGAATATGTTGAAAATATAGAGGAATTTAGATGTTGAACCCGAAAAACCAATACAATATACATTCTTAAACCAATTTTAGGATAGTTTGAGGGTGATGGAACTATTGTAGGGATGTATTGAGATAAATATGGATGTCATGTGCGTGTAAAATTTTGTGTGGATGGTCTGATGCCAATAAAACGAAAATTAGTGAAAATCTTAATTTAGAGATCATTTTTTTAGAATGAGTATTTCATAAGGGGCATTCTACTAATAATTGTATAAAAAGGGAAAAAGCTTACATGATTCACGAGTGAAACTATCTTATAAAAGATCTCAATAAGGACACACGGAAAATCTTAAAAAGAAATCAAGTTAATACATGAAACAGAATACACACAACAAATATGAAAAATTGAGTGCATGAAACAGAAGACGAACTACATACTTGATTAAGTTCCAAACACTTATTTGAGAGAATTAAATATTTCACAAGAAATTATTAGTTTAGTTGAGTCTTAAATGTTGAAGTAGTCAAAATATAGGAGAATTCTTATTTTTTGAAATGTTGACTTACAATTAGTAAAATCTAACCAAACTAGAGAGAGTGTGGAAGTATTATATAATTCAATCTAAGAACATACATTGGAAAAAGAGTTAAAAGAATAAGTTTGGAATGTGCATCTCAAAAGAAAAGAAAGGATAAAATTGACCATTGAGGGTCGAGATTTGAGGTTCTTTATGAATTTATGATGCAGTACATGAATTTTTCACACACATGTCAATTTTTTATTGGATGAGTAAAAATTATCTTTAGCAATGTGATTTTTTAGTCGTGCATAGTTTTAACACAGAAATTCCAATCTTAAAATTATCTAACCAAAATTTTGATAAATTTTAGTTTAAGTTAGGTTATATTTTGTTTGAGGACAAACAAATGTTTAAGTTTGAGAGTATTTGATAAGTGTATTTTGTACACTTATTTATGTCGTTAAATAAGACTGTTTGTTATTGATTTGGAGGAATTATAGCTTATTTTGTGTTAATCTTATTTGTTAGATAAAACTAGATGTAAATTGGAAGTGAAAGAAATCCAAAGTTCAAGGACTAACGTATAAATGTTTAA